TCTCTCTCCGCATTCGTCACTAATCACGCAACGCCGGCGTCATACGTCATCCGCGGGAACGGCTTCCGTGTATGACAGTCAGCGGAAGTGAGAGAAAAGTGTTATTACATTTGAAACATTGATATTTCTCTTACAAAAACGCATGGATTCACTACAGGAGGCCTTTATTCACCCCCTTATCGAAATCCTCTGACATTTTTCTTTGCAAATCCTCGGTTTGTATTTTTAATTCGTAACCGGCGTTTTGTTTTGTTCTCTCGCCGCATTCGTCACTAATCACGCAACGCCGGCGTCATACGTCATCCGCGGGAACGGCTTCCGTGTATGACAGTCAGCGGAAGTGAGAGAAAAGTGTTATTACATTTGAAACATTGATATTTCTCTTACAAAAACGCATGGATTCACTACAGGAGGCCTTTATTCACCCCCCGGAGCCGTGTGAGGCACGTTTTATTATGGATGCGCGCGCTTTATTTGACGACTTGTGGACTGTTCAACTGCAACACCCGCTGACTGCAATGATACAGCTTGGAATAATTTTTAATATAACTCCGACTGGATTCGACTGAAAGAAGAAAGTCATAAACACCTAGGATGCCTCGAGGGTGAGTAAAACACAGTCTAATTATCATTTTTGGGTGAACTAACCCTTTAACCGTTAAAAAGGTTGAGTATTGGTGCCGATACCAATCCAGAATCTGTGGCTCTTAAAACAACTGTAAGATTGAATGCGGTGTACAGTATGGTTTGATGTGGAAAACGTACAATTTTGATTCTGTGCATGTTGGGTAATGTGTATCCCGATGAACTTTGTCTGCATTTAACATATATTAATTATACTTCGATTGGTCTGTTTAAAGGTGCGTTCAGTAGTTCTTCTTCTTTGTATACTTGAAGTATCGCTACTATAATGGTGTTCGACGCTGCACTGCCATCTATCGACGTTGATCAGCATGACGACCTCTGAGTTTTATGTAAATTACACTGGTTTTACACATGAATCCCCTTACCTGTCGAACTATTCACCGTCTTTAAAACCTTTTCTGCTTCTTCGGCTGTACAGGTAGTATTTCACCCGTTGTGTCCATTGATAAATCACGATAATAAGTGTTTTCCATCATCTAATTTGAACTCTTCGCATCAGCAAACTAAACTACGCTACTAGCGTATCCACACCGCGGGTCACGTAAAGATGGCTAAGTACACTGAGGGAGCGACCCGTACCATGTAAAATAGGGTGACCAGACGTCCCCGTTTACTGGGGACAGTCGTTTTTGGTGTCCTGTCCTTCTTCTTCTTCTTCTTGTTAGTTTTATGGCAGATTGCAACCATGACTTATCAGGTGCATACCGCCACCTACTGTATCGGAGTATTGGTGTCCTATCCCCGGAGACGGCCCTGTTTTACAGCACGTTCAAAACAACGATTACTTTCACCAGCAGAGGGCGCTGCGAGCTATACTAGCCGATTACTAGCCGCTAGCCGCTACCGTAGCCATGAAGAACTTGGACGAGACACTCTTTTATAGAAAACTACTGTGAGGAGAGTTTTCATCTCATGCGAGTGTAGGCTACATTTATTTTTTTCCTAATAAAACTTTTTTTTCTTAATAAAACTTTTCGTAATAAAACTAGAATTAAAATCAAATTGCTGAATAGACTCTTACGGGTTGAGAATCACACTTACAGTGTTGTGTCGCTGTCTTGAAATAGCTTTTGTGAGGCCCAGTTATGGTGTATCAGGTCAGCAGGAGGGGAAAACTGAATTTTGGTTTGCTCGACTGTAATGCAAAAATAGTCCACTAGAGGCCTCACTCGATACTATGGAAAGATGCCTTATTCGTGAGAATTAAAATTTACATTGAAGATCTGCTGTATTTTTGTTTAAATAGTCTAGAGAGGTGTACAAATGAATTAATATTTGATTTGCTAATGATTTTGATCATTATTTTTAAGTTTCATGAAAAAAGAAAACATATTTCCAGATATATTCCCTCCCCGTTATCCACATGCATCCCAAGCACAACCCGCTGGAAATAAAGTAGAAATTAAGGTAGTTGAGTGAAAGCATCGTCGTTTGTTTAATTCACGCTTAGAGAAAGGCATTGAGGCATTGGCAAGAAGATAACATATCCAGCATCCAGTTGACCACAAACATGCTTTATTTCAACATCCAAAATAATTAAAAACATCTCGAAATACTGTACATGTACAAAATAAGTACAGATCCTTTGTTGGAACCATTGGAGGGTCTATTTCTTCTGTGGTTTTTCTTTTTTTGCCACTTCAATTTCAGTTTTTATAAGAAACCTTACACTGAAAACAAATCAAACAAATGAAAACAAAAATAGAAAAGAGATGTGCATTGCATTTTGAAAGTAGAAATAAAATCTGGTAATGGGGGGAGCGGCATGTACAGACAAAAATAAGACTTCTCTAGAAACTTAGGTAGGGGAAATGGAAATGAGACGAACTGCATGGCAATCAGTCCATCCACTTAACCCTTATCAAATCTACAGTAACCAACTTATCCAGCTGTTTTATTCTCCTCATCTGCTGACACTTTGATAAGAGCAATTGCATCACATTGACATCAAGACATTCTGTTGACATTTAGCACCAAAATGGCCCTGCAAGTGTTTTCTGGCAAATACAAACATACCACAGACAGGACCAAGAGAGGAAGTAGCACCTTTTCATACCTGTTACTAATCGTTTACTTTGCTTGAATAAAAAAATTGCCCTCGTCCCCCCCCCTCGTTTTTCGAGACCACAACCGAATATGCTTCAGTTTTGTATTTTTATGTTACAAAGATCATCTCGTGCTTGAGTGGAAACGAGGAAATCTTTGTTCATTGTTAAATCTTCGTTTTACTGTTTGCACAAAAGTTCACATAATCCAAGTCAAAAATGTTATTATTTGATATAATGACAGAAATATTGCAGAATCTGATTTTTTTCTTTCATATTAAGCCATATTCATACTTCTAGGTCATTAGAACATTTTTTTAAATTAAAATCCTAAAACTTTAAGATTTTT